AGTGGCGTTTCACTGGAGACGTCGCAGAACCGGCAAAGGTCATTCGGTCGTAACCCCAGTTTATACATATGCCCTCCCAGTCGGCAGTGTCCTGTAAGAAATCCTGTTAATATTCTTAACCTCTCCTTTGGGGGGCTAATTAAACTTTTGAATCTACTCTTGTTGTACCCTCCTAGCAGGCTTTTTGCCTGTCGCATACCTAACGAACTCTGCCAGTTCGAGTCCCTCATATTGTATCTCTCCTCACTGAGCTTTTCCTTAATAGTGTTGGGACCCACTCCCAGGAAGGGCTCAGGGCCAATTGGAGTAATGGCTGCCGCCTCTCTAGCGAGACAGTCCGCCGCTTCATTCCCCTCCATTCCCATATGGCCAGGCACCCACGCCAGTTTGACGTTGTTGTGCCTACCAAGGGAGTTGAGCCTCTCTATGCACTCAAGGACTAGAAACGATTTAATTTCGAAGGATAACAGAGCCTTGAGTGCCGCCTGACTGTCACTAAGAATTACAATCCTCTCATTACGGTATCCTCTATTAATGATGGTCTCCGCACATAAGTAGATGGTGTAGACTTCAGTCTGAAATATGCTCGGATATTTCCCCATCGGGATAGAGATCCTGGACCTAGGTCCGGAGATACCAGCCCCTATTCCTTCCGGGGTCTTCGAGCCATCTGTGTACCACTGCAGTGTACTATCCTGAAGGAGTCTCTCAAAGGAGGAGGCACTCCAGGTTGTCTTACTGCTTAACTCAATTTTAAACCTCTTCAAACCTTATGGTTCTAAAAATGTCATCCCTCGGAAGCAGGGCTAGCGGGAGCGAGGACCCTAGCTTCGCCATGTTCCTAGAGGAAATGACCTTACCTCTTCCATGACCCTCTCTAGTGAAATTGAGCAGAGTTCTTTTGGCCGCCAGTTCTATAGTTATGTACAGGGGCTCGAGTTCAAGGACCACTTCCAGCGCTGTCGTCGGACACGTGCGCATCGCTCCCGTTATGCATACACATGCCAGTCGTAAGTACATAAAAACATAAATATATATTGCTGTACGTATAAATGTGCATTTTGATCATGAAACTCAAGCAGACTACTAAAAAAATGGACAAACAAAAATAAACATACTTGAAGATATCGCTAGAATTACTTTATTAATTACGTATTTAGTCTGTACGCCAATATTTACATATGTATGTGTTTTATTTTAGTATGTTCGGAATACCTACAACATGTTCACATATGCTAAACACATTCTTAGTTCGTATAATTTTTTTCTATGATCTGCTTATATGTATTTCAATTATTCTTTAAACTAAATTGATTTATGTAGGTACTTATATAGCAATTAAAATAGTATTTACGTCAGTAGAGAATCAAATGCATATTGAAATCGTTTCAATACAAATTCATTCTGCAATTTTTTTATTTTTATTTTTTTTTTTTAATCACCGACATTTTCAGCCTCTTAAGAAATTTAAACTCGCTTACTAAATACCAAAGCCAGCAAACATCTTGGTTGTATTAATTCCAGAAAAAGCTATAAATTTATTTGGCCACTAACAAATATTTTCATAAACTCGCGCTCGTAAAATATCTGCATCTGTACGTTTGATAAAGTAAACGCGCCTTAATACTCAGATGTTCAAAGTCAAATTCAGTAGAGTTCGCATGCGGGATACTTGCGATTACAGATCGTCGAAAGGATGCTGCATATACAAAAAGGACACTCATCAGGCGAAATAATTAATTTTAGGTAATTTGCTTATGCCTAAATATTTTCGGTGTCGGTTATATAAATTATAACTCCATTTTACTGTTTATAAAAGTAGTCTTGCATTTTTAATAAAGTAGCTATGGGGTATTCCACCGTCACGGATGGGACATTTGTACAGTAAATTTAAGTGTAAAGTACTCAACAATTCCACATTTTTATAAAGCTGCTACTAAATTTTATATGAGAAAAAATCGGAGTTATTTCTTCAGTCACGGGTGGGACAAGAACAGAACCTGCTTTTTGGCGCAGATATATTTCACGGAAACTGCGAATTTATTTCACTTTTCTGTGTGAACATGATGTGCTGAAATAAAAAAGAACCACGAATTATAGTAAACCAAAAACTTACGCAAAACTTATTGCTTTATTTAAAAAAAAATCCGAAATTTCTCTGTCAAGGGTGGGACACGTACGAGCTTTTAGTGTGGTCCATATTGAATATTATTTATTAAAAAATGTAAGAAGCCGAGTAGAGATTCAATTCACTCACGTTTTATTTTAGAATAGTACATTTTATATGGAAGAAAATGCCCAGCACCGTCAGCCAAAAAAATCATTTAAAAATCAACGTGATTTCCTAGCGCTTAATTTATACCTACTTAAATTTAATGGACGTCGGCCGCTGTGGTGTAGTGGTAAGCAGTGCGCGCTTCCACTCCACAATGCCTGGGTTCAAACCCTGGTCAAAGCAACATCGCAAAAATATAGAAAAAAG